AATAACCTGTTGACATTGTCCATTAAAGCTGTTATCCGATTCCAAGGGCTGGTGCAATAGAAAATTCCTTGAAACATCCGGTAAATTCCTCACTGAATCTAGCCGCTGTATCCGCTCAATAGCTGTAAGTCGTCCCAATATATTCACTTGAGTCGTCATCGCATCGGCTAAGGACTGATACACTACATCCAGAAACGAATGCGCACACCACCTCTTGAGCAGTCATGGAAATCAAAGTGTCTTTCTTAACTCCGTGATAATCTGAAACACGGTGGGAGCAAGGCACTAACTCCCGCAGAAAACCAGTTTGAATAAGATAGGGTATCAATGCAAAGCCGAACAGGCTGCCGTATCAATTCCTTACAATCTTTGAAAGTACAGAACGATGCATAGTCACGAGAGCCTCTAGCATCCTGTAACTGTGTAAAGTCCTTGTCTAAACTCGGTTGATTGGCTGGGATAACACGATCATGAATGGAATAAATGGGTTTATGAGCAACCCTAGGCAAAGAATTCAAGTTGGTAGCCTTGGAGAGGCCTAAGTTGTAATTCTCCAACACTTTCTTAAGTGATGATGAATGTGGTAATGACAGCCTGGACATCCATTCTGGGGGAAGACAACCTGATAATCCGAGTTCCACGGGAATATCTATCTCCTGCTCGTCCGACGGCAGTGGTAGAGTTTAAGGATAAAGTCCGTGCAAAAGTTCCAGCTTTTCTTTAAATGACCAGCCCGGCATAAAATCCTGTGCTGACATGTCCTAGGTTGTACCGTCAACAAGCCTTCTTTCATGGAAAACGCTGGTTGTGAAAAAGGATAAACGGATGAATCCTCCTGGTCCGTCACATCAGACACTAACGGGATTAAGGGCGGATTGTCTGTGTCAAAATAACCTTCGGGTCCATAGCCATGTCCTCTGAACCGCTAGGCCCGTGCAAATCAGACTGCTGGGTTGATACACCGTTATTCATAGCAGCCGACCCAGTGGCCTGGCTAAAGCCAGGGCGGGAATCACATGCCGTCTGGACCAAGTCAGACCCATGAAACACTTGCAGCCCGGTCTCCACAAGGGAGAGGGTAGCAGGCTGTATGTGACAGGGAGCAGCCACGGATGACTGGCTCCCTGGGGACAAAGGACGCGGAGTGAGTAGCCTGAGCCACGGTCACCCCGGATCCAGAGCTGGCTGGGCCGACTCCATCCCCGTCGCTTGAAGCCCTAGGCTTCTCCCCCTGAGGGGACCGGCCTCCTACGTACGCCTGGGCATGGTAACAGGCTTTCCCGGTCATTGCACCCCTGGGTTCCGTAGGAAGTGACTTTGGCCCCCCGGCTCTTGCCATCGACAACCAAGCCACTGCGGCTATCTGCCATCTTGCCGGATAAAACAGGATGCTCCAAATGTTTTGACAGGTGATTAAAGTTTTCATCATTCCTCATCTACATATCCCGTACAGATTTATCCATGGCTGCCTGGATATCGGATTTAAATCCTGCCAAAAGTTCTGAGAACGCAGCTATATCCAACTGGGGAGAGGATTTTGATTTAGATCTAGAACGAGACTTCAGTTCAGATATAATAGATAAAGGCGGAGATCCCTGAACTTTCTTTGACTTAGAACATTCTGATGACGATGAATGTTTACGCTTCCTAACTATGGAACGAGATTTGTCCATCAACAACCAATCTTCTTCAGACATTTCCTGACACAATAAGCATCGATCCGAGATTGGGCAAGGTAAGCCTTTATAACAAGAAGCACACAGAGAGTGGGGATCAACATCTGCCATGAATTTCTGACATTGCAAACATTTGCTCTGCGCCATACTTGTCAATCCAAAAGGGCGGGAAAACTTCAGATCCTAAATACGTTGGAAATATATCTAATATAAATGCAAAACAGCAATGCGATTGAATATTAAATGGAATGCGATTTGTAACTGACATATATATGGAGAATTGAAGTCTTGATTTGAAATGAAATTTCACTCGATTCTCTGCACGTCATGTGTGTGGACCATACAGAAAAATTATGAAGGATTCTAGGAGAACAATACAGTGACGTCAGGATCAAGGGAGATAACTCAGGGGTAGATTAGGTATACCACTAGGAATAGCTATGACTTAGTGTTAAAATTTCTTTTGATTTTCTGTATGTATTCTGTGTATCCACAGGAATAAGGCTACCATAATCCAGTGGTAATGTTTACGTTATAATTGGATATTTTTATGTCATGCTAAAAGGCATAAATTGACAGACAAATTTCTGAATATGAGTAAAACCAGTTTGGTATTTGTATCATGGAATGTGTGTAGAGATATTGCAGGTATATCATGCAGGTTAGCAGCTGGTCACTGGAATTTCAACTGAAGCGAATAACAATCCAGAAACAGAAGAACATACTAATATGAACAAATCAAGTCCTCAAGACAGTTACAAAACTCTATTAAATTTAATTATAAATCTTGATAATAAATAAATATCTCTAAATAACTGATGATATTAGCTGTGTTACATCAATTTATGAATGAGAAGCTAGTTACCGAGAAACAACCTTATGAATGACAAGTTATATACTAGAAATGACGTGATGAATTCGGCCATGACGACCATTGATGCAGTGAAGTCCACAGCACCAAGCCCCAAACATGCTGTGTTTTGATTGAGCATGACGTCAGGATTGATTGGTTTGGGAAATTTGACCCATTCATTGTGGGTGTATCCTGAATGGCTTCAATTAGGTATCCACAGGGTTTCATGCAACTCGTAAATGTTTGTACATTACACACCAATCTAGAGAATAGACGCAGAAAAACATTCACTGTGTCCAGAAAGACGCACAATATTATTCATTGTACCCACAACACATCATGACTTTACTAAGTGTTTAGTTGTTTCTTGCAGAGCATCAGTTCATCCATCAGTCCACATGATCAATGATTCATGCCAGGCTCTAAGGAAATTATCAAAACGTACACTTCTCTTTACTGTTACTTCACAAGCCCCTCATATAGCAAGGCCCCTTAAAACTTATAATTGGAGGTGTCCAGGGACCCCATGTTTGTGAGTTCAGGTAAACACATCTTGCAGGTAAATCTCTCCAGCTACTTTCTTCATGTCGGCCATTTTAACTTTTCATAGTCCAAGTGAACTTATATCCAGTGTGACTGTTCTAACAAAAGATTTTCTCATGGTCTGAAATTGTGTATAACTTTAATGGAATGATACCAGAGAGTGATATATATAGTGATACATTTTACACTTTGAGCGATTTCAGTCCAGAATGACTAACACTAACCACAGTCAATTTGCATTTCCAAGATTTACATTATTTGGAAGTTACTTCAACCAGAACCTTTTATGTTTACATGATCTTGCTGTTTTATCATTTCACAAATATCCATGTAAACACAGATAAAAAATGGTTTTCTTCTTTTGCTTTAGCTCAGTGCACATCCATTCCATACTTAAAGTGCATTTGTCCTCGGATTCTGTGTACGATTCTGTGTACGATTCTGTGGAGTATTGTGCATCTACAAAAAAACGGGTAAACTACTGAGGGTATTTTTTCGCTTTTCAATTTTGCAAAAAATGAAATTTTCAAATTGAGTTGGTTAAAAACATGAGTTTAATCCCTTTAGAAAGCTGACAACTGATTCCCCAGAGAAATCACACATCTTTCATTTAGATTGTGTCTTCAGAGGAAACTCATGGTCCCTCCTATGGTCATTGATGAAGGCGACATGAGATCTTCACAAACACAGGAAAAGATCCTATTTTAGTGAAGTGAGTATGACTCTTCACCACTATCAGCAATATTCCAGCAATATCAGAGAGAGAGTGAGTATGGTTTTACACCACTTTTAGCAATATACCAGCAATATCAGTCACCTCAGTCATCTGCATTCACCACCATCTTCGTCTGAACCTCCCTTAAACATCAGCATTCACCGCAATCTTTATCTGACGCTCCCCTCAGTCATCAGCATTCACCACCATCTTCATCTGACCCTCCCCTTAGTCATGAGCATTCACCACCATCTTCATCTGACCCTCCCTCAGTCATCTGCATTTACCACCATCTTCATCTGACCCTCCCCTCAGTCATCTGCATTTACCACCATCTTCGTCTGACGCTCCCCTCAGTCATCAGCATTCACCGCCATCTTCATCTGACCCTCCCCTTAGTCATCAGCATTCACCGCCATCTTCATCTGACGCTCCCCTCAGTCATCTGCATTCACCACCATCTTCATCTGACCCTCCCCTTAGTCATCAGCATTCACCGCCATCTTCATCTGACGCTCCCCTCAGTCATCTGCATTCACCGCCATCTTCATCTGACGCTCCCCTCAGTCATCAGCATTCACCGCCATCTTCATCTGACCCTCCCCTTAGTCATCAGCATTCACCGCCATCTTCATCTGACCCTCCCTCAGTCATCAGCATTCACCACCATCTTCATCTGACCCTCCCTCAGTCATCAGCATTCACCGCCATCTTTATCTGACCCTCCCCAGTCATCAGCATTCACCGCCACCTGATCTTCATCAGTGATCAGCATTCATTTCCATCTTCATCTGACCTCCCTCAGTCATCAGCATTCACCACCATCTTCATCTGACCCTCCTTCAGTCATCAGCATTCATTTCCATCTTCATCTGACCCTTCCCTTAGTCATCAGCATTCACCACCATCTTCATCTGACCCTCCCTCAGTCATCAGCATTCACCGCCATCTTTATCTGACGCTCTCCTCAGTGATCAGCATTCATTTCCATCTTCATCTGACCCTCCCCTCAGTCATCAGCATTCACCACCATCTTCATCTGACCCTCCTTCAGTCATCAGCATTCATTTACCATCTTCATCTGACCCTCCCTTAGTCATCAGCATTCACCACCATCTTCATCTGACCCTCCCTCAGTCATCAGTATTCACCACCATCTTCATCTGACTTTCCCCTACTGAACATACACTTCCACTAAATCCCCAAGTGTCACCTTGTCCAGCCCAGTTCCACTGCAACAGCTTGACCTCTCTCTTGACCGGTCCTGAGTCCCATCCCATGGTGTCACTGACCTCAACAATGGGGAATTCGACGCTGTTGGCATTAGAGAAGGACTTGCCCTCCATCTTCTGTCTAGCAATAGCTACCGCAACTGGGGGACACTGAAACAGACAGTTTTGTGCCTTAGTAACAGACCATTCCACCATGGGATCTCAACACTAACAGGATCATAAATATATACAACATCAACCCACAAGAATAATGTCTTGATTATCTGGCGAATCAATTTCTGTTGGCTTAAAAAGGCAAAATAGCAGAGAATATTACTTGACTTGATGCTGAAAATTAGTGATGACACATGGGCCCTTATTCTCGAAACGTTCGTAGCCCTAAGAATTCTTAACTTTGATCGTAGCCAATGTGTTGAGAATGGGCTTAAGAAGTTCATAGGGCTACGAACGTTTCGAGAATAGCTAGCCAGGTGTCAAAATATGGTATGTCTTGTCCTACCAGTAGCACCACAACTGAATTTTCATGAAGAGCAACTGTTGCTAGTGTGGTCCTTCTTGTTCAGGTGTGCTTCTGCAGCTATGATACTCACCTTCTTCAACACAGCTTGCACAATACCCACCTTCAGGGATGCAGCCTGGAGCCATGCTCACCTTCCTCTACACAGCAGCCATACTCACCTTCTTTCTACACAGCAGCCATACTCACCTTCTTTCTACACAGCAGCCATACTCACCTTCCTCTACACAGCAGCCATACTCACCTTCTTTCTACACAGCAGCCATACTCACCTTCTTTCTACACAGCAGCAATACTCACCTTCTTTCTACACAGCAGCCATACTCACCTTCCCATACTCACCTTCTTTCAGCAGCAGCCATACTCACCTTCTTTCTACACAGCAGCCATACTCACCTTCTTTCTACACAGCAGCCATAGTCACCTTCCTCTACACAGCAGCCATACTCACCTTCTTTCTACACAGCAGCCATACTCACCTTCTTTCTACACAGCAGCCATACTCACCTTCTTTCTACACAGCAGCCATACTCACCTTCTTTCTACACAGCAGCCATACTCACCTTCTTTCTACACAGCAGCCATACTCACCTTCTTTCTACACAGCAGCCATACTCACCTTCTTTCTACACAGCAGCCATACTCACCTTCTTTCTACACAGCAGCCATACTCACCTTCTTTCTACACAGCAGCCATACTCACCTTCTTTCTACACAGCAGCCATACTCACCTTCTTTCTACACAGCAGCCATACTCACCTTCTTTCTACACAGCAGCCATACTCACCTCACTTCTTCCATACTCACCTTCTTTCTACACAGCAGCCATACTCACCTTCTTTCTACACAGCAGCCATACTCACCTTCTTTCTACACAGCAGCCATACCCACCTTCTTTCTACACAGCAGCCATACTCACCTTCTTTCTACACAGCAGCCATATTCACCTTCTTTGACACAGAAGCTGTACTCACCCTCTTGGACACAGAAGCTGTACTCACCTTCTTTGGACACTGCCTGCAGCCATACTCACCTCTTTTAACAGAGCCAACAGATAGACTCACCTTCTTGGACACAGCCTGCAGCTGTACTTACCATTTTGGAAACAGCAGCTGTACTCACCTCTTTTAACACAGGTCGAAGATATACTCACCATGCCAGACACAACCTGGAGCCGTTTTCACCTCTTTTAACACAGCCTACAGACAAACTCATCTTCTTGGACACAGCAGCAGCCCACCTTCATACTCACCTTCTTGGACACCGCCTGTAGCTGTGGTGGTCCTCCATAACACAGAACCTTACAGGTGGCATACACCGGCTGCAGGTTCTCCAGCCAGTTCTCAGGCACCAGCTCCATGTAGCACAGCAAGGTGGCAATACCTTCAGGGCAAGATTGGGTTCGTGAGAGTGTGGAATGTTATTTTTTTCAAACTTTATTACTTTTCTGCCTTCACATCAGATCTCAAATAAATATTTTCTTCTTGTTAAATGCCGGTAAATCACTCCAATTTATTGAGAATATTGATTAAGAAAACACATAAAACATGGATCAATATTGATAATGATGTTTCAGTATTACGGCTTATTTATTGTCTCATGCATCAATATTCCAGTTATATGAAGAGAGCCTTTAAATAATCTGACCCAGACACAGTTTGATTGATGTTCTGATCAGTGTTCCTGTAGTTGGCGGGCACAATGACACACAATCAACCATGTCACGGCGGCTGACCAGCCGATCTGTTAAGTCGTCCCTGGGTACCTATTCCAACCTGGACTACCCTCCAATACTGATAAAATTTAATAGCAACAAGAACCTGAACCTGTGGAGAGTCTAGGTTTGCTTCATTTAGGGCTACAGCTACAGTAAGGGCTGTGTGGAAGGAGATAATATGGCTATATGATTCAGGGACTGTGAGATTTAATTTGATGTGATTGTCTGCTTCAATAGCCTAAACAAACACAGACAAGTTTGTGGTACCAGGACCAGAAAATGTTAATGCTGATAAGTCAAGGATCCTGATCCAGTGGAATCTGGGATTCAGTGGTAGCTGATCCTGACATGAATAAGGGGATATAGCTCTGTTGCAGATTGCTGTAACCTACATCACTGGGACACCTGTGCCCAGTGGAATCTGGGATTTACTGCTAGCTGATCTTGACATGAATAAGGGGATATAGCTCTGTTGCAGATTGTTGTGACTTACATCACTGGGACACCTGTGCCCAGTAGAATCTGGGATTTACTGCTAGCTGATCCTGACATTAATAAGGGGAGATAACTCTGTTGCAGATTGTTGTAACTTACATCGAAGGGACACCTGTGCCCAAGTAATTACCTGAAAGCAATACCAAATGAGACTAACCTTCTTCTCGAATATCCAGGTCCATGATGGTTCTGTCAATTGGCAGCGCCCTCTCGTGACCGGGACATACTCGCGACGATAAAGCAACATCTTCTTTTAGATTGAGATCCTCATCCATCTGTATTAGAAAACAATTACAGAAACATCAATATCAAGTACAAAACATGGCAGCCATATGAAACACATTTTACTAGATTTAAGGTATTCTGAGGCCACTTATGGTCACTTCAAAGACAGACCAAAGCTTAGCTCCAGCTGTCCATATGTACTAATTTGTGCCATCTAGGAGCATAAAGTGACCAAACAACTCATGCATCACAATTAATCAAAGCATGATGGCAACACAACAGAGACAAGTGATAATATCAGCAGTTAACACTGATCCTGCTCTACACTATCCACAGATTAAGGTCATATATACTAGGCAGCAAAAGAAACATCAGTTTGGAATTTTCCTTCGCAGGAACAGATAACTGTAAACTCATTTAATGTTCTGATTGTATATTTTTGACAACATCTCCAACTTTACCTGAGCAAAGACATTCCTTCCCAAACTCAGAATGGAACCCAGGAAATGGTCTCAAAAACGCAACCTGATCTCAGAGATGGTACTGTGTTCTCCATGTTTTTCATGCAACTCATGCTGCACGTGCTGTTCACAAGGACCAGCCCTATAAAATGCACCCCCAAACCTGGTTGAAACATTCACATTACAACGTCAGCAGGATGCCGCGACTTATGACAGCTCAGAGGAACCAGGCGCTAGGAAGACTTGAAGCTGGCCACACTGCACAAGCCATTGCCAGTCACTTCCAGGTCAACGTTCTGACCATCTACAGGCTGCAGCAACGTTTCCGGGCCACCAACACCACAAATGATCGCCACCGTACTGGCAGACCAAGGGTGACCACAAGACGACAAGACTGCCATGTTGTACGACAGCATGTACAGAATCCCTTCATGCAGCCATCAGAAACAGCACGCCAGACAGTGGGAAAACACGGAAGACCAATCAGTACTGGTACAGTACGCTGACCTCTTAACAGCGGGAACCTCCATTGCCGTAGACCTTACCGGGACCTATTACCGTCGGACCGTCTATGCCCTAACCAAAACTATGGACAAAACTATCGTCCTCGTGGTTTGGTAGACAGTCAGTTTTACCTGAAGTCATGGCGATGCATACTATAGAAATGATCCCTAAATGGAGAACTGTTCTGTTCACAGATGAGAGTTGGTACTGCGTATCAACTGCAGATGGCAGAACAAGAATATGGCAACGACGTGGCCAGCGTTACTCAGACCAATGTGTTATAGAAAGCGACTCATGGGGTGGTGCAAGCATCATGGTATGGGGTGGAACAGGCCTGAACCAGAGAGTGGGTCCTGCGGTGTTCCAGAACCTTGGTCCAGGGAGAGGAGGAGGCATCGCAGCGGAACCGGAACAACATTTTCCAGCATGAGAACGCCCGGGCCCATACTGCCAGAGCTACATGGGACTTCCTACAGCAGAATGGTGTCAACATTCAATGCAGTGGCCAGCCCTTAGTCCTGATTTAAACCCAATTGAACATCTTTGGGATGAAATTCAGAGGAGACTGAATAATGTCATACCAAGGCCGAACACAGTCAATTTATTGCGCCAGGCCTTTCTCAGAGTGTGGTTCCAGGTGCCAATGGCCTTCATCTATCGATGTGCAGTTATTGCCGCTCGTGGTGGTCACACTAGATACTGAAGTCAAAAGTCTGAATGGACTGCAAACGTTCACATAATGTCTTGAAATTATTGAGTTATTCATTGATGTGTCAAGATATTGTACACAAAAAATTTTTTTTGATCCGCTTATTATGTCAATTTCTGTAATAATTTGATTACAGTGCCTATCTAATTTTGAATTCGTACTGACGTTTTTTTGCTGCTGAATATAGAATGTGATATAGCACCTTTCTGATTACATCATCGTCACGATATGGCTGAGATATTGCCGATGTGACGTTAAATAATAACTCACTCACTCACTCACTCTGATAACATCAGAAGAAAAACACCTCATTCCCCAGCAACCTTCCAAGTCATTTGCGGGGAAGGAAGATATAATGCAGATCACCCTGGTGATATATTTTGTCTTTCAATTCCAATGTCACGCTCAGGAAATGTTAGAAAGTATGATTTGGGTTTTGTGATAAAGTATGTTTTAATCCGTGTAATCACATCTGAATAATATAAGAAAAAAAAAAGAAATCACTGGTAATTGTTCCAATAAATAGCCATTTAATGTTTCATTTTTGTCACAAGAAATGAGTGATGTCTGAATGACAAGGCACAGTTATATTTTACTGCCATCTACAACACAAACATCTCAACTCATATTTTCTCAATTGATACAGACACATTTCCTATTTCATAAAATGCATGATCCTCTGTTGTTCTGGGATTTGTAATCCTCAAAATATAACGTCAAACTTGAATCCATACTGTCACTCTCTTCTCTTCCCTCAGACTGATAATCTGACAATGACCTTTACACGTAAAACAAACAGAACATATGTGAAAATACACATCTCCCAAACATGGTATTTTCGATAAAGAGTGCTCTAAAACTGAACCCCAGACAACTCAACACAATAAGACAATCTGCCTCTCATTTTGTCAGGGAGAAAAACAACATTCTTAACAAACATAACAAATCCTGCAAATTAGAACAAATGTCCTGCAAGTACCCAGTCAAAGCCACTGTGTTGCCTGGCATTTATCACTACCCACTGGCGCCATCTAACATTTACCATTGTGCCCAAGCTAATTGTCTATAAGGAGGTGTCAGGGGATTGTAATCTGGTCGGTTCAGAAATCTTCTATTAGGACTATAATAAGACAGCCGATTGCTGACCCCAATGTCCTTTGCTTGTCCTTTACAAGCAAGCAGTCACTCTGGGTCAACTCACCTCATCTAAAACCTTCAAACATGTTCAAACAGAAAACAGGAAATTACAAAACAGTTTCCAAATATGAAAAAATATATTCCTTTTTAAGTTTTCAAAGATATTCCTCTCATCTTAAACCTTTGTGCAAATGATGAATTTCTCAAAACATAAGGAAGCATTTAAGGAAAATATCACAAAAAGTACTATCACAGCAAATGGCTTTGTGCGTTCATACTATTATAGCATGTGAAAGGGACAGTGCCCTGAAGAAACCGGTCAGTGTAATGCTATATTTGGGATCATTGTGTTTTTCATAGGTGTGCCAATTTACACTTGTCAGAGGGGCACATAAAGTATGTGATCTAGGCTACCAGTTGTCAGACTTCTAGTTTTTGGAAGCTATGACGGCTGAGGGGGTCAGATTGCTGATTTATTGGTCTCATGAGGCCACCACTGACACCCCCAAACTAGTGGAGTGAGTGAGTGAGTGAGTGAGTGAGTGAGTGAGTGGGTGGGCAGGTGAGTGAGTGAGGTGAAATGTGTGTGTATGTGTATGTGCGGCTGCTTGTACTAGCCCAGACTTAAGCTGGTTTTATAGTGCTAGCCCACTGAGATACCATGCCGCAGTGAAGCAGGAATAACCCACTCAGACACATTATACTGACTCCGAGCCGTCTTTTGTTGTACCCATTAATGCAGAGCGCCAGGCAGGGATCAACAAGTACCATATTTTAACGTCTTTTGGCTTGACGCGGTCGGGGATCAAACCCACTACACCACGGAGGCGGTCGAGTGAGTGAGTGAGTGAGTGAGTGAGTGAGTGGTATGTCAGAGATGCTAACAGACAGTGAAACAATTCTACTAAATTTGTGGTCTGAGTCAATGTTGCAGGGAAGCCAATTCACCTCTACAAAGGAAAAGGTTACAAAGGAAACGTTCCAGCGTGTATGAGCTCCAGTGTTAATGAGTTCTGGGTCAGATTAAGGCATAAAGTGATGAAAAATCCTGTCTCATAAGACCGATACAGAAAATAATTTAATGAAAGACACAGAAATACTAACAGAAAACACAGAAAAGCACCTGATATCAACCCTGATACTGCATTTGTAAATAAAATAATAGAAACATTTTGCTTTCTTTTTCATAGCAACCAAGAAACTCAATAAGTATACAGAAGAATTCTGTCACCATTCATAACTTACCTTTATAGTTTGTTTGAGTGGCATTTAGGAGTTGGTGTGATGAACAACGAGGAGAGTTCTATTGATATACAACTTCTTTAATATAATATGAGCGATGTTTCAGTGTAGCTACTAACACCGTTATCAAGCAAATGATGATAACATCATTGTCTTGATGACGGTGGTAGTAGCTACACTGAAACGTCGCTCATATTATATTAAAGAAGTTGTATATCCATAGAACTCTCCTAATTGTTTACCATTATAGTGCCAGATATTGATTTACTAAATGTTCCAAGAATGTGGAGATTTTATCTGTCATATTACCTAAACCCTAATCAGCCTGAGAATGAGTTTTTCCCACAAAACAGCCAGATTTCAGCTACCATGGTCGATAGTACAAAACACAAGCCAAGAACAACTTTGCCCTGTGAATGCTATGTACTGGTTGCTACACAATATAACACACCTCCTTGGCATCATATCAGTTTTATTGCACAGCATCAACAGCGTAAATTACGTCTACACTATCACACTTCAACATCGTCTACATCCTGGACTAGACAGCGCTTTTGTCACTGAAGCACCATCAGTTCACCATTGACACTGTTTATGCTACAACCAATCCCATGGGCTCTATTAAAGGGTGTGGGACTATTGAGGCCAAGTACATTGTACTATTATCCGACCAGGCTCGTAGACTAATCTGGCACAGATTTTAACTTCTTTGTAAGGAAAGGATTAGGTGATGTAGAAAACAGTCATTGACACATAAAACTTGCTTTCTTTGTTAGTGGTTCAGTCTGTCCGTGTGAAGAAGGACTCTCTGATGGGGCTCAAGCAGCCATTAGAACTACAGATGGAGGGAGTTGAGTGAATACCAGGGATCTGAGCAGCGTGACAGTTGTATGTATGTATGAGTGAGTGAGTGAGTGAGTGAGTGAGTGAGTGAGTGAGTGAGTGAGTGAGTGAGTGAGTGAGTGAGTGAGTGAGTGAGTGAGTGAGTGAGTGA